TACTCTGCTAGGATAGTATATAACTATTTTTTTACATTTGGTTTGATTTCTTTTAATACCTTATAGGTAGATAGCTGCAAATTTTTCAACTAAATAGACACTCCTGGTCTATTATGATTTGAGAACAAACCCTGTTTTTTTCTGGCCCACTCTCAATCTTAGAGCTACCAGCTTGGACACTGGGATATACAGTGATACTGAAAGATCTTTTACACCAAGCAAGATTGAATTTGATCAGTCTTTGGGTGGAAAACCTCTACCAAAGTTAGCCTGCTGCAGAAAACTGCTGAGGAGGAAGGTCAGACACCCACTGGAGAGAGAGGAAGCTCCTTGTCCAACTGCAACACTGTTAAAGCAGGGATATTGCACATCTAATATAGCTTTTATTAGGAATCCCCATTTATCTGGGACTTCAGCTGGCAAACTGATCAGCTATACCACCACAATTTGGAACATCTGCAAAAGTGCAAGAAATCCCATACATTTCTGTGGGTCACGTACTCCTCAGTGCATGCACATGCAATGCGTGCACAAGCCTGATGCTTCTGGAAAATTTTTGACTTCCTGGCCATACCAGGAAGTGCCGTTTCAGGATACACATATAGCACATAGCTGGTGCTTTCAGGCAACCGTGCACAAGTGTATTATGGATAATGGAGTAGGACAACACCTGCATGCAGTGCGGGGCTTACTGCAGCTCACCACATTGCCTGTTGTTTCTGTCTGGGGTATGTCAGACAAGGATACAGAAACGTTGTGTTTCCTCACTGCTTTGTAGTAAACCCAGCCACAGGGTGAGGCAGTAATTTCTCTCTCTCTTCTACTTCCCTCAGTGCTTTTGTTATTCTGCACAACACAAAGCAGCTTCAGCAGAAGAGGGTGAAGGCAGGTCCATCCAGGCTGGCCCTTGGGATGGTAAGGGTAGACTGCAGGGACAGAGACATTGGGGGTGGATCCTGTCAGGCAGGCTACTGTGGTACTCATTAATACCTCAAAGCAGAAGTCTTTTTTGTTGTTCCTCCTGAGGCTGTTTCTGTGCATATTCAGATCTGTTAGGGATGCTCTGGCACCATCTGGCTAGCCATATGGACTGGGAATACCTAGGCTGACGGTGAGGTGAGGGCATCTGCAGTAATAGCGTCAGTCAGCACGTCAGTGATAGTGGGTATGTCTGTGATGGTACCATGACCTGGAGATAACTACACTGAGCTCAGCTGAAACACATCTCAGATGTAAGAAACAGTTGGAAATAAATAACGTGTTTTTTTCAAGAAACCTATACCAACAGAGTGAGCACATGATAAGAATTGTCAATTTTCTTGATACCCATAGCAAAATTCTTCAGTATTTATAAAATCAACATTAAAATAACCAAATGGTACTATGAAAAATAAAATTAAATAAAAAATCTAGAAGAGCTAACCAGTGGAAGAAAGTTTAAACTGAAGTACTAGGATTATGAAGGATTTCAAATCATAATGCACTTCAAAGCCCATTCTTGGTTTCAGACATGAATGCAACGGATATATGGGGATCAGATAGATTATAATCCTTCCCCTATATTTAGAGGCTTCCTGAAGCCTCCATCTTTTGTTGCATTCACTACATGATTAAGAGATACAAGAGAAACTTTCTGTCAGTTGATTATTACGGTTTAGAAAAAACTTTGGTGTTTACCTGAAGAGAAATAATATTTTTTCTACTTTCTATATGTAAGAACATTTGCACTCAATGCTATTTACAGGTTTCAGTGCAGCTTCTGATTCAGTAGAACACACAAATAGAAAAAACACATGGGAAGGACAAAAATACATCCCGAGATAGCTTTTAGCTGGAAATATGGTAAATAGGGGAAAAGAGGCCTCTTCAGCACTGGCTTACATTTTCTGACCTGAAATTTACCATACAATCTAGTTTACTTATGTTACCAAAGACTAAAAAATGAACGTGCTAGAGACTGTCCTCCCCCGGTCCAGATTAGGAATAAGAGAGAGTGGTAGAGCAGGGAAGGGATAAACAAGAAGAGAAAGCAAATTCCAAAAGCCATGATTGGAAAACCACGTTTGTAAGCATCATTCAGCAGTGGCAGCATTTGGATACAGAACTGCCATGCCACCTCATTCCTGAGAGAAAAGCTCTATAAGACCTTAAAGAAAAAAACAAGAGTTTGGCATGGGGAAGAAAAGTGTTGTTTCTTCCATACAGAGGAGGAGAACAGCATCACACCTATCTGTTCCATGCAGCAGGTGTGCAGAAAGATGGTCCTGGTAGCTGGAGATACACCTTTCGTTGCAGAGAGTTTTCAAAGACTAGGCTGATTTGAAAGAAGTACTATTGGCCTGTTTTTTCCCCGCTCCCTCTAAATGAGGCAGCCAAGAATGGAGAACCTTAATGTTAAAAAATGTTACCTGAGGGCACAGAAGGAGACCCAAGTCAGAGGAAAACAAAATAGTTAGGTGGATTAAGTGAGGTGAGCTGAGGAAATTTCTTCATAAACAGAAATGACAGGCTAACTTGGGAAAATAAAATTTCCCTAAGCATACCTGACAGCAAAAGCTGACTGATCAATAGGAGCAAATGTGTAGTGAACCAGACAATGACAGAAAGCCAATTAAGGCCATCCTCTGGACTCAGCAAAACAAACCAAGTAAAGGAAAACACATGAGCCATGCCAAGGAAAGATCCATGTCATTGTGGGTAGCAGCCCAAATTGCCACCCCAGCTACTTGCAGAGGAGCCTGAGTGCAATGAGGGAAGCAAAAGACACTGACTTCGAAGGGTCGTGACAGAAAGCATGGGCTTTACCTTCTTGGCACCAAGCTCCTTACTCGTCGTGTTCTAGATGTGAGGCCCCTTCTGGTCAGGCTACAAACCTATCATATTTTATACACACCAAAAAGCAAGCAACCGAAACACTACTGCGGTTCAACATTGAGCATTTATAATGACCTTTGTGCTGGCTGTCTACACGCACATTCACATCTTTTTTTATGCACAGAAGCTTCCTGTTATTTCTGCACAATATTCTTCTTAAAAAACAACCACTCTGTTACCATAATTTAGTTTTTCATCATTGGCTTTTGTTTTGTCAAGCTTAAAAATTAACTTTACAAATGAATGATGTTTAAAATTGGAAGATCTAAAAGAGATTACTTAACACAGCCTGATCAATGAACTGTCTGGGTGCCTTAAAAATGTTATGGTCCACTTTTCTCCTCATAAAGGCACTTAAAGCACAGCAACATTACACCCACCTCCATCACATAAAGTTCAAGCACAGCTCCATCGCAGTATTTTTACATCTCAAAAAAGAAAGTCAGATCATCATAACAAGACTAAATAACTCCAAGTCAGACAAAGAGAGATTCCCAGGCAGAGGTGTCATGAAAGAGATCTGTAAGGCTGCTGACAGAGGTTCCCATGCAAATCCGGGTGCACAGACACAATATGCCATGCCTTGTCAATTCCCATGTGTGCTGTTTTTTACAGCCGCAAAAAAAGGAATCACAGTGTAGGTAAATACATGAAAGAGCTTGGAGTAGGGATGCAGAAGAGTTTTTTAATGTTACCTCTTTCAGCCTGTTGGGCTGTAAACGTTAAGTTGTGCCACAGATCTTGGTTTGGGATTCCACACTGAATGGCTTAAGCTTTCTTACAGAGCAAATCTGCAACAAAGATACAACTGGACCTGGAAATACATATTTTACCTTTTCTTTCTTAGTCATAGATCTAATCTTCCTTGAAATAGGGGGAAGATGGACATCTGTTTGGTTCTTAGTGTGGGCATGAATTTCACAGTTTGCAGGTATGTGTTTATTTATCTGATGACTTCAAAGTTTTCAGTTTTTTAAAAAAGTCAAAGTTTCTTCTCAGCAGACCTTAGATTGCAACTGTAGGTGTTCTCATTAGCAAAAAAAGTACATTTTTTCTGAGGAAATAATTAGCTTCATGTTGATAAATCCTTTTCTGCCAAATGACTAGACATGCATTTTAAACAATAAAATAATAGTTTTCTAGTTCAAGCTAAAGCTCTTATGTTAAACAGAGTCTCCACTGGGAAACTGGAGTTTTCTCTGCAGAAACCGAACCTTTTTATTGAAAGAGAGGGAAAGTGAACTGTAAGTGTTCTTTCATTTATGTTGCACAATAGCTTAACTTCCTCTTTGAAAAAATAACCCAAAACACAAAACACCAAGAAAAGAGGATTATTTTTTTCTCCTGTTTCCTTCATCATGACTTTTTTTACACCTTGCTGTAGGCTATCCTACCATTTTCAGATTTTTGATTCTCTCATGAAACAGAGTATAATCTTTCTCACAGATGTTACTGAAAGCACCAGGGAACCAGGCTTGTGCCTATCTGTCTGTGGGGTGCATTTATATTCTGCCTATGCATGTATGTTTCAGAATTTACAATAATAATTTTTTCCAAGTTCTCCAACAAAAAGCTGCCTCCAAGTTCAGGGAAGACTGTGCCATTAAGCAAAAATACTCATTCTACCACAGGCAATGAAGCAGCCAAGAATTTAGGAATGTGATTGAAGAGTCACAACTGACTTAGTGTGAAAAGTTGTACGTTAAAATACATGGGTATGCCCAAATGCTGTATGGAGACTTTGCTCTACGTGCCTTGTCAGGTAAGAGTTTACATTGCTTTAAGCCAAATGTTAAAGTGCCAACAAGAAGGTTGACTTCAGGTGAGCTGAAGACAAGCACAGCCTATGCCTTACCTTTCCAACATGAGCGTGAGTTCTGACATTAAGTAAAAAAACTCACACTAGTGAGAACTATTGCAAACACATAGGAAAAAAAACACTGAAAATTTGTCAAACACTGATCAAATGTATAGATTTATAGGACTAACAAAAGAGAACGCTGCCCTTTTCAAAGGTTAGTCACTATCTCTTTTCATTCTTTGGGATCTGTCTGGTTATTTATATACAGCACACTCACAGAAATAGCTGCACTTGTATTGTCTAATTAAGTGTAATCCAGTCTTACCTGGCAGGTCCATATTGATGTGATAATGAACCCATCATCTCTGAAGACATTGAAGATTTCAATGATCCCCCGTGAATAACCAAACACGGAGATACTAGCATCTGATACTGCCAAGTTAAATGTGAGGTAGTCAGTAGGCTGAAGAAGATGTCTTTGTTTATACAGGACAAAAATCACAATGCTGTTTCCAAACCAAGACAGCCAACCTGGAAAAGAAAAATTAAATCCATAGAACTAGATGATCTTTAAGGTACCTTCCAGCTCAGGCCATTCTATGATTCTATGATATAAAAAGCAAATAAAGCAAGAAGCAGTTAAGTGTGTCAATGTATGACATCTCTTCTAAAATTACCCTTTTGCTCTATTAGAAGCATATTAAACCAGATTATCCACTAGAAAACCTAGGCATGGGCTTTTTGAGTAGCTGGGTACGTTTCAGAAGCAGGAGCAAGTGAGTAAATAGAATAAAGAGCTGCTGATGCAACCGTTAAAGATCCATCCTTTAAGGTCCGAGAGAAGTATTTTTTTCCATAAGTGGATGAAATTCATGGAGATGAAATTCATGAAGATGAAACTCAGGGAGTGTAACATTTGGGAAAAACAGGAAGGAGGAAAGATTGGTAGAGCCAAGCAGAGACTACAAACAGTCTGCCAAAAGCTGCATCTGTTAAGGTACGTTGCATACAGAAATGGATACAGAAAGTTCATGCACATAGCCAGAGAGCCACTTTACCAGTCCTCTCTCGAGAAGTGCAGCTAATATAATTAAGTGTCTTCTCTTAGAAGACACTTAGTCTAGGATTTCCTCACAGCAAAGTCTGTCCCAGGTGGGAATATTTTTCAGTAATGCACCTGATAATCCATATGTAGAGAATGTTTTGAACAGTTAAATTCTTTTCAAAATTTATTTTAAAAAGAAAGTTGTATCCTCTCTTACTCTCCAGGAACACAGATGCCTTACATATATGTGTCTCAGTCTGTAAAGAAAATACAAGGGAGATGACTATAAAGCTGGAGAAAGTCAGACACTTATTCAGTTGGAGAGACCTAAGAGTTTCCAAACGTTCATGGCAGTTGCTCCACCCCTTTGCATCTCACTTTTTGAAATGACATAGACACATGGAAATGAATGATTTTTAACAAAATGCTTATTCATAAGTGTCAGGCTCAGTGTTGAAAATGTGGTTTAGCCAGTGAAGGGGGTGGCTCCAGGGTGGCTGATGGAAAGGGGCTGAGCAGCAGGCCGGGCAGCACCAGGCTTCCTGCTGGCTCCTGTTCCTATCCCACAGATCAGCTCTGCCACTTTTGACATTTGTGGACTCACTTCACCTTGGCAGGGTGGAGCAAAACACGACCTCCTTTAAGTGTCTGCAGCCTAGGACAGGATTAGGAACGCAACATCTGGTGGTTTATGCCAGTGTATGACCCTACCAGGTGAGTTAGAAAAGAGCTGATCCACAGCCCTCTACCCAGGCGTGAGTAGTAGATACCCCAGAACAAGGTTGTTGTATATTAACACAGCGAGAGATGGATATACGCAATAAAGAGGGATGTGACATGATGGCATTGCACAGCATCTCTGGATATTCAAGGGAGTTCACGAGAGGAAAGCTGGCTGGTGTGTTTAATGCTGTAGCAAGAGGGCAGTTGCTTTCCTCGAGGAAGCATCACCTTATACGTCAAGAACCCAACACTGCACCACCAGGCTGCCTTAGCTAGGAAGGGAGGGAGAAAATTGCCTCTGAATCTCCAGGCCACGTGGAGTATCAGGATCTGAAACGCCGAGGAGCAAGGCACTTCTGCAAACAGAGGAATAGGGTACATACCCCCTGCTGAGGTGCTCTGGATACTTTGGAGTGGGAGGGGAGGTGGTTGATGGGACAGTCTCTGCACAGCAGTATGAACTGCTTTTTCTGTGGAGAAATTTCCTTTTAATAACTTCTCTTTGCAGCATTGCCAAGCTGCTGCTGCTCTGTCTTGCTTAGCAAATGCACATGGTTTACTGAAGAGCTTTTGAAATGGGAAGACCTGAAATGTCAGCATATGGTATTAACCAGAAATAGTCACCAGTGCAATGATACACTGAGATACATACATACGTTTTATATATATATATATATATATATATATATATATATCTTGTTATAAGATCAACAATTATAAATACATCTTATTCTGGCCACTAGGTGACAATGTTTCTTAACTGAGTCTTGTTTCGAACAATTGGAGGCACCTTCAGTCAGGGATTTTCTGACTGTTGTCTGAGTCTAGGTATTATAAATAGGCAGAGCAGGGCACTGGGGGAGGAAGGTTTTGGAAGCACATCGGGATGGTCTGCAGTGCAAACGTGGGAGTTGTGTTATTTGTGTACATCAGTTCTAACTTCTGTAAGGTAGGATAGTTTTTGAGTCAGTAGGCATGAAAATTTTTTCCCTGTCAATATGAAGACATAGTGCTAAGATGGCAGACAAAATGAAATGGTAGCTCCTTTGTAAATAGCAAAATTTTGTCAACTCAGTGTAATGTATAGGAGGGCTACCCTAAAAGTGTCAGACATCTGCCCTTCCTGGGAATAGAGCAATTCCCCTGAGCCTAGAGGGTAAGGGAGTTTTCAGTGAAAGTACCTTAAGAAGCAATTGAGCAAAATGTCACATAAAACAACATTACACATTTTAGATGGAGACAACAGAGATACAGTATTTTTGATAATTTTTTGGAACTACATTCACAATCTGAGGGTGGAGTTGAGGGAAGCATTGAGGGAGATAAGGTTACAGAGCAAGCATGACTTCTGCTGGTAGGCGCAGTCCTTTTAAGTAAAGTAGATGGAGAATCTGCACTGGCATATCCAGTGCCTAAAATGATCTGGTTGGGTAGTAAACCATATTAATACTAAGATTAAAAAAAAAAAAAAAAAAGACACTGAAGGAACTCAATTCTCAGTAAATCATGGAGTAACAAAAACAGTGGTCACATAGAAGTGCTACCAACTACAGTAGTGATTGTGGGACACTGGATCTCTGCACCATCAGATAGATGTGCTGGTCTGAGGTTGCTACCTATATTGATTCACTGATTAAAAAAAAAAAAAACACACCCCACAACAGAAAAACAACTGCCTCTAACTGAAAAAACACCTCAAACCAAACAACCTCTCTCCCCCAAACCCATAACAGGGAAGAAGGTTGAAAATGCAATGGGGAGAGAGCACAGCAATAGCTCTGACATCTCAGTCAGGGCAAAGATCTCCTCAACTGCATTGCACATGGTATGTGCCTCAGGGTAGATCAAGAGCCCAGACAGAAACTTCTGAACTTCAAAGTGCCTTGGTGTCACCAGGTGGCATCTCAATGAAACAGAGGGTAGGAAAGAAGGGGAGGCACAGGAATGCTGCCAAGCAAACTGGTGGTAGTCAGGAACTGAAAGCCTAATGACAAAGTCCAGTATCAGCGTGATGCCCGCCAGTCCATGCAAAGAAAACACCAAAAAGTAGCCAGCAGGAGCGACTAAGGACATTGCAAATCTCTCTGCTGAAAACAACTGAGAACACTAAGATTGTTTAACTCTGGGAATATTGAACAGGAACACTCTAATTTTGCAAAGATTTCTGCAAAACGACTCAAGCCTAAACATCCAGATATATCCTGTTTTTCTCTTATGTACCTGAGATGCCCTTTGAACAAGCAATAAGCACCTGAGGCTGGGTGAAATTTAATTTTTAACATTGTTTCTGCAGAGCTAAGTGTAGTAAAAGTGAATTGACAGCTTTGAGCTGATCATCCACATTTTCCAATAGGTGACCTCACCTATGTCCAACCAAGACAGGTTATTATGCATTGTACTTAGACTTGCTCTTATTAGACATTATTGCAAGGCCTTTACTTGTAAAACCTCACAAGAATAAAATAGAAAAATGGGTGTTACAGCTCACTCATATGCAGTTTAAAATGTACATAGAGCCTTAAGTGGAAGAATCCAAGAAATGAGAGCGAAAGGTGAATGCCACAAAACAAACTAGACTCTTCCTTCAGCAAATAACCTTTCTCTAGTATAGAAATGGGATTGAGCATTTCAATACAGAGCAGGCATGAATGAAGTCAGTTACTGATTCAACTATCTATACACAACCATAAATGCCTATCCAAAGAGGTTTGCTGCAAAAGATTTTCAGCTTAGAAAACTTTATTTAAAACAGTGATAAAATCCAGAGAATTTGCAAAGCTGTCATAAACTATTGCAACTGTGAAGTGACCCTGCTCTGTTTTCAATCTTTGCTGCCAATTATACACACACAGTATCCTGTCCAGGGCATGTTGCCAATTCTGACAGGAAGGAGAAGAGTAATCATGTTTCAGACTTGACAAAGCATGGAGAGATTATTTGTTCAATAAATGCAATCATTTTGTGGATGAATGTTCTGTGAATAGTTTGTTTCCTTTCTCACCTTCTTAGATTTATCTGTCAAAGTCCCAAAATAACACTCATTCTGTTACTTGTCAAGTAACAGTTTACTATTACCATTCAAAACCATGTGCTTTTTAAAGGCATGTTTGGGTCTTGTGGTCTGTTCCTGTTTTCTGATGGGGTTGGTAGTGCTCTCAGCATGTCTTTCTGATACAAGCATTTACAGAAAGTCAGAATTTGTTCTCTGAGAAATACTCTCTCCTACTGACTTAAAATTTCCTCTTATGCCACTATTCATTCTAACAGTTCCAGTTAACTGTGAAACTAGGGAAAACAAGCACAGAACAAATTGTATATCAATGTAGGGAAAAAACCAACTTAAGAATTCCAATTAATAATTGTGAAGAAATATATTCTTTATATTTTTCCTCCATACCTAGCAGCCAGCAGCAATGGACAGTACTTTCAAATTGCTCCTCATAATTTAAACTATACAAGGATTTTCCACAGTACTATACCACATAGGGGATAGAAAAAAAGGGATCAGGTATAGTCCTAGCAGGATGACAAGCTTTCACCTGTCTGTCTATGACAGTTCTGAGCTCATTGAAGGGAAGGAGGGAAAGAGAGTGCTGCCTTCAGAAAGAGAATACTGACGCAGATGACCTAACAAAGGGTAACTCAGAGGCTGCTATCACTTGCAGATAGTCCCTCTGAGAATGGATCACTTCCATCCAATTGGCATTGCATTTTACCCCCCCCCCTTTACTGTTCTCTTGGCCAAAGCATTAGCAAGGGGAGTGATGAAACAGTGACTTGCATGCCATGAAGCAGTGCAGGGATCTCAAAATCCATCAGCGTTCGCAAAACACCCTTTGACCACGGTTTGCTCGTGATGTTCGTGTACTAAACCAGTGAGCTCAGGTTTCCATACAGTGTGCTGAGGAACCCTTGTCTGGATCTGAAACTGCCTGGCTGGTGTATCATGTATGACACATACAGTAGTGTCCTGTCTGTCACATATGACATCCGTGCTACCTACGATATGTGAGAATTTCCAGAACTCAGAGGCCTTATCTCAGCAAAAGGTGTTAGCTCATGGTTCTTGGAGAGTCACATCCTCAGTCAAGACTTGTGACTGTGGGAAGACTTGGCCTAAGGTAATGATTTTTGGACTTCATCCTGTGAAGGTGAAGAGATTTAGAGGAACCCCATCTTCTCCATAAGTGCCGACACCAACCACATACATCCCTTTGGTGTTGGAAATGCCTGTCAGAATTTGCAAGAAGCTGCACTGACATATTAAGACTCAAGAAAAGAAAACACTTAGTAGTTATGGAAGTTTAGTCACTGCAACTGTTTTCCAAGGCTTTCAAAAACCCCAAAAGTATCAAATATGAACATCTTTGTAGCTTCATGTAAGGAAGTATCCGTAGACACCTGCAAATGCAGAGTGTCTTGCCAGACCCCTAAAGGAATGGAGATACAGGAAGATAATGCATGGACTGGGCTTTTTCCTGTGCTGCCAGAAGGGCAGGAGTGTGTCTGCATGACAGAGTACTTTGTTCTACCACATCACTTCTCCCTGGATAGACTGAGTTATTGGTGTACATAAAACTAATAGCTGTAAATTTTTGTGGCTGGTGCTTGCAGAAGTGCGACAGTAGATCTTTGAGGAGAAAATGACTTGAGGACTTTTCTGATTTATGTATTACCAACAGATTTTTTCCAAAAGATCTCACTGCGAAAAGGTATACCCACATCCATCAGTTTTAACCAGATTCACACTACACTTAAACTGTAGTAGTGCTGCTGCTTCTTGTATATACTTTGCTAGAAATGCAACTTGAGTCTTCGGTCTGGAGGTAAGTTTCAAGAACAGCAGCTATGACATGCCAAACACTTGTAAGCTGGGCAGAAGGATCTGAAGCAGTCAAAACCCAATAAACAGACAACCTAAAGGCTCAGGCACCTACATATTTGCTAGAAGATGTGGGGTCACCGTCATGAAGCAGCAGAGGACAACATCTCTGTTAGCTGAACTACCAGTGTGATGCAGAGGCAACACTGGGAGGGAGTAGTAGAGTTGGGAAAGTGTAAATATTATTTTGAATAGTGATGGCAAGACCTTGCCTGGATGCCGTATTTGGTCCTGCCTATCAGACTGCTAGGATGATGTGCTGGGACGACAGGGGAAAGGATATTATGACAGGAGATAAAGGAATTATAATTAAACCTCCTTGTCCTCCCTTAAAATCAACCAACCCAAAAAACCCCAAACACTCAATTGCTTAAAATAAGAATATAAAAGTTAACTTCAAGGCATGATTACACCTTCAGGAGCCCAGACTGGTCATAATATGTTAGTTGCAGGCAGAAAAATTGTTTCAATTAAAAGAAGTGACAAAAAGGGCATAAAGCTGGTGTGATCACTTTAGCTAAGAACTTAGGGAAAGGCTTGTATTCCACATAGAAACAAAATTAAAAGTAGGCTTTCAATTGGAAGAGTGAGTAGCATCATCCAAAAAACTAGATAGTTACATGAGGGAGCATGATAGGTTTGTGAATGAGAGTATGTATTGTCACAGCAGGGGACTGGCCTTGCATACCTAAGATATTCTTTCTAGTCTTAAGTGCAACTGAAAATTTCATTAGCTGATGGTGCAGACATTTTACAGCTATTCATGAAGGACTACACAGATGTGAACAGATTGGATAAATTGGAATACATCTAATTTATCTTATGACCACTCTTCAAATTAAGTTCCCTAAGATAGAAGTCATATATATTTTTACTAGAATCTGTTTTTGTTCTAAGCACGACATTTTCTTCCCTAGTTCCTATAGATTAAAAATGCATTTTACATTTTAACTTTCATAGACCTTTTTCAAGCATAAGCTCTGGCTAATAAGCTAATTGAAATATGTAATAAGCTTAGAGTAAGAAAACAATCTGTTCAGACCAATCCTTTAAAAACAGAAACATTTTTATATATGCTGTTTAGAAGAACACATTTAATAAAAGTTAAGTTTTATTTTATTTTCCTGTGAGGTTTTATGGTTGAAATTTTTTATTACCTAGCAAACCTGCACTCTGAAATTTCATAAAGTTTCCTTGTATTCAGCAATAGTCTGCCTGAAATAGATAATATTTAAACAAGCAAAACAAAATTGCACTGGGATCAGAGTGAGTTCATCCTGATTGCCATTTTCAAATCCTTATTATACACTTTAGTGTGGTCTTCCAGCGGAACTAAAATAAACACTTGGTATTGTGACTGCTAACACAGGGTAACGTTCTAGTTTTTAGACCTTTCATAGATCCTGTTTGAAGAAAATTTCTATATGCATCAAACATTTAAGACAAGAACAGTACAGTTAAAAAAACTTAAAAACTACAGAACCATGTTTTGTGTCTCTGCAGGAGATAATTGTAGGATGCCAACTGACTGTCAACAGCCGTAGCTCTGCAAACCAGAGAACATTAATTCAGTGCTACTGAGACACAAGAAGATACAGAATTATCATGTACTTCTGATGGGGTACTTTTTTTATCTTCCCTTATAATAAGTTCAGTGAACTTAAAGAAATTTTACATGCTTGACTATTTATTTTCCCTCAAGATTTCTGCATTGATTATGAATCTCTTTTTAACAAAAACAAACTGTACTTCTCTGATCTTGTAATAGCTGAAGAAAAAAAGTTGCATTTTCTAACATCCTGTTCCATTAGGGATGAAACCTGAATGAATCACTTTGAACTTGATAACAAACTCTGCTTTAAGAGCTTCCTTTCACATCCAAGCCAAATACATACCTAAAGCCAAGAGGTAGAAACCTATGATAGTCTCTCCTTGTTCTGTTACAGCTGCCTCTCTGGTCAGAAAACTGATGTTGTTGTTCCTCCAGGGTGCCTGTGCAGAAAACTGGACAGACATTTTCAGTGGAGCTTATGACCCAGAAATTACCCCTTCCTCAGTATGTCCTGGTGAATAAAATGGTTCCAGCCTTTTCCTCAGTTTCTGCTCCCTGTATTCAAGGGAGCTCTTCAGTAAGACTAATGATCTAAAGAAGGAAATCTCAAGGGACAGGAGCTTTGCAGCCTTCTGACCTCTTCTTCACTAATCCTATCTACTAATACAGCCTGACAACCTGCGGCCAGCACAAGACAGCAGATTTCCTTGTATCCTTATTACTGCTATGTACAGAAATCTTTAATGAAGGGCATTTATCCAACAAAAAGACAACTTCATTTAAAATAAGGTGATATCACATAACCTGCAGGCTCACAGGCACACCCACACCATACTGATACTTTGCTAAAATAGCTGTAGTTTCATCTTTCTGTCCTCACTGAAGACAAGTGGAGTTTTAGGTCAAATGAAATTCAGAAAAACTCTCACACAGATTAAAAAAAAAAAAAGAAAAGGCACAGTAAAAAACAATGGGGAGGTGTCACTACCTGAGAATGTGACTTTAACATAGAAGAAAAAGTCAGCTGTGAAGTTACTTTACCAGCAGAATAGTTGGTAATTTAAAAAGAAGGGAAGATAATTTCCTTCAAAAGTTGAAAAAAAAGAGTAAATCATACTTTTAGACTCCTAAGAACCCTCCAATCTACACGTAAGCTTCAAGTACAGTGTGACGTTTTCTCACACTGTTGAAAAACAAGATTTTGTCTTGTTGAGGTGATTTGTTACTCATACTCTGTTTCAATCTACAATATTTTCAGTCTTTTCTGAGGTATCACTTGTATTTCAGATATGGCCTCTCTTACCAATCTGGTTGCAGCCATAATTAAAAAAATTGAGTCTAAATTAATGAATCTGGAGCAGCAAAGTTTTCTCGCTGATCAACACTCTTACTGCACTGAGATCCCTGTGACTGTCTTGGACTAGCTTGTCCCTTCTCACCCTGGGCAGCATATTTACCCCAATGGTGGCACCCAGCTGGAGAAAGCAAAGCACCTGACTTGTGAACTTCCACTGTCCACGGGCTGGTTTTGTCCCCCCTGAGGCAGATTGATTGCTCCTCTCAAGCTTTCCCTGCGTTTGTTATGGAAGCATCACCGCACAAGAGGGGAATAACAGCAGTATGATGAGAGTAAAAGAGGAGAGCAATCCTTTACAGTGAGAAGGGAGACAGAGCCATGTTGTGATGAAAGACAGAAGCCTCTCACCTTCCTGCTAATGCTGAGGACAGTGACCCACACACGTGCTTCACTGAAGTCTCTTGCAAGGGCTGTAGGCTTGACTTGTCCCCAGACATTTTGCTCTTGTACCAGTCACTGGAGTGCTGCTCTCTCTTTCTTCAACAGGATGGGTCTGACAGCTCCCACAGCTCCCATAGATCACATTTCAGCAGCCAAGTGGCCCCATTTTTCCAACCACTACCACTTGCCTTCTGCTGACTCATTGAGAGACCTCTTCCTCTGACTGTCTACAGACAGCTGGAATTGAACCCCGACAAGCTTCTAAAGCTCACTGTTTAGCAGACTGACCTTACTGACAGAGTGACCAGGGACTTAACCAGCTCAGTGATTAAAAATGGCCCTAGCGGTGGTCTTGAGGCCAAAGTCCTTTACTGTTGTGCTTCTACAACAGCACCAGGTTGCCTCCAGTATTCCCACCCTCACTCCAGTTTCAGGCATCTCTTGACCTTGCAGACAGCCCTCACAAGGCTGTCTGGCATGTCCAGCACATGTGGCCTTTTCTCTACTGTGTGGTTGCTCTCTGAGGTTGCCGCATAAGTATCTGTGGTCCCCAGCAAAGCTCTGGATGTACATCAGCTTTCATGGGGAATATGTGCACAATCACACTTTTTCAGCATTGAGCTACAGCAGCAATTTCTAGCTTGTTACTGACCTGTAAGTGGATCACTGTTCAGATGTAGAGCTGGGATAAATAGGAAAAATTATAATTGCTTTCCCCCCTGGTCTTCACACATTACACTGAGCGATTAATATCTTGGCCTGCTTGCAGTTTTCTCCTTCCTGGCTCTGCAAACTCCTATGGTTTGTTTCCTGTATCTGCAGGTCACTGTGCTTCCAAATGAGGGAAATGCTCCCTCTGCAGATTGCAGGTGCCAAGTTTCATGTCTCTCAGTGCTTTGGTGGTGAGGAATTTACTTGGCTTCACAGGGGTTATCCCAAGTGCCTTCACTATCTTCACAAAGTGCTTTGAAAGGAATAGAGCAGCATTTGCTATGGGCATTTCCATAAGAGGAGGAGAAAACTGAAGTGCTGTGGTGGTACAGAGAAATTACTGTGTTTGTCATAGTTATGACTCTGGGAAGGCATGTGAAAAAACTAATTTGGACATGAAAAGACTGTAAAGCATCCCTTCCTAAATATGTAGGAACTACAGGCTGGGTCTGCAGAAGAGACACAAGCAATGCAAATGTGCCTTGGGAGACTGGTGCCACAGCTCTTCCTATTACACTCTCTCTGCTCTCCTAAAACTCATGGATCCATTTCCCTCCACTGTCACCTTCCTGCCAGGTATAGCAGAGCCATATGACCCACCTCCTGCAGGAAGAGAGGCTGTGGCAGTTACAGAGACCTGGATTTAAAGGTGCTCTCTCCGCAGATGACAGGTGGCCTTCCCCAACCCCTGCTGAGCTGGGAAGCAGGTACATCCCTGCCCACACAGGTCTGGGAGCAGAGCAGCAAGCCCTGTCTGTGAGCAGCAACTCCTGTCTGAGACAGTCCTCCTGCAAAGTGCTCTCCATAGACCCTCTGGAAGGGACTCCACAACCAACACAATCAGACTGGGGTCAAACCTGCACAGTCCTCTGCCAGCTGACATCTAAATGACCTCACTAAAACTACTGCTGGCTCAGTAGTAATTGGTTGGCTGCACCTGAGGATTTAGGGCAGATGCTACTCAAATGTAATGAATGGAGAAACCCTCTGCATTCATTGATACCTCAGGGCACCTGAGTAAAGCAAGTGATGAAATGACCAGGTTATGACACAACAGATCAAAAAAACCCATGTTATGAACACCCCAAGCCAACCAGTGGTCTCTGAGGAGGCAGGAAAAGCCAATTAAGAGTGGATATAAACCAGCAGGTACCTCCTATTGGAGCTGCTAAAAATGTACAACAGCCTTTTAATCCCTGTTTGCCTCTCTAAACGCTTTGAAAGTGTTACCAGCACAACAAGGCAAGTATCACAGTAGCATTAACTGGCTTGACACGCTCAGGCTAGCTACATTAGAATTGGCATACTGTTTCTAATACATGGCAACAGCAAAATCCTAAAAAATAAAATTTGTGTGTGACAGAAAACACATGATGAATGTTTCTAGCAAGCACCTGTTTTCCCTGAGGAGTACTGAGAATGGGGCAGTTGCCAAAGGAATGATTTTGTCAGAAAGCTGGTGTAAGTTCTCACAGCACTATTTTTGCATGATATCTGCTATACATGGATTAAAGAAAAAGACATTAGAGGGAGGAGGCAAAAGGAAAAATACATAGAAGGGATGGGTTAAAATAAACCATAAGCAGATAGAAAGTGGTTGTGTGAAATAAAAATACACTTTTGTATGTGTAAGCCATAAATTTTTCTGAAATTTTAGAGAAATATAATTTGGGGATTTCAAGGCAAATCCAATGGAAGGATTTATAGTAGGAACACCTCTACATTCTTTTCAAAAAAATTATTTTAATTTTTAATTTAAATTTTTCATTAGAATATTCTATGAAATACTATAAAATGAAAAATGAAAAAATGTAAATATTCAATAAGACATCACTTAGTCTTGAAAGGAATAATCATGCAATGATAGTTATGCCTATAGATTTTACTGAGGTAGTGAAACAACGCATTTCATATCAGAAACAGGTGATTTTTCCAAAATCAGATCATGTGTTTCCTCCCTGCTTGTTGAAATGATTTGCACAAAGTTTATTCTAACACCCTCTGAATGAAAAGAAAAAAAATCTTACTAACAAATCTGGTCAGTAATGCTTAAAACAAGTTACTTGCCAAATTCAGTTAAGAAAATGGTTGCATCATGTAATAAATTGTTAAATCCATACTTCTGCCATGATTTCATAGAATCATAGAATCAACTGAGTAGTAAAAGACCTCCGAGATCATCAGGTCCAACCCTTGATCCAACACCGCCATGGTTAGTAGACCACGGCACCAAGTGCCACATCCAGTCTCATCTTAAAAACCTCCAGGGACAGTGAATCCACCACTTCCCTGGGCAGTCCATTCCAATGTCTGATTACTCTCTCTGTAAAAAATTTTCTCCTAATATCCAAGTTAAATGGACTTTTCAATGGACTTTAGCCTACTCTGCTTCATACTTTATTCTTATTCTCATCAATCCTGAATGCTAATGTTTCTCTGAGGAGCTGTGCTCTGTAGCTTGTGACAGATCTAGAAAACTACCTGTTAGGAAAAGAATGCTTGGTCAGCAATTATTATGGCAATACACAGTTCAAAATCAACAATTTCTTAAGGAACAGTGTTTAGATTGATGCTAATATGAGGACAGGCTTCCTTGCAGCTTCAGATATTTACTACTTTCATGCTGAAAGATGATTTGAGAGAACTTTGTGTAGATTAGGCCACTGAGGGTTTGTATTATTTAAACTCCCTGCTCTGAACTGAACTTAGACTGAGTAGGTTAGGTGATGGTAAAGGAAACTAAAATCTTCTGAACAGCTGAATCAGTTTGTGAGAGATCCCAGTGAAGTGTGGAAAGTCCTGTTTCTGAGATAGAGAGTTTCCTAAGGAAGAGAAGGAAACACTCTTGGCAGCCACAGATAAGGAATGGCTGAAAGGCAGGAGCGTCTCTGTGGCACAGAGGAGTACAAGCTCTTTTATTTCTAATTTGTCTTCATGAGTTGAACTGATTTATTTTTTTATTTAAAGAACATTACCATAGCTCCTGCTCTGGCAAAACTTGGCTTTAAAAGCCTT